ATTAGCAGCCCAACTCACAACCCCTATGACACCAGCTCCCACCTTGATACACCCCCTTCCTAAATTTAAATAATGCAGTATCCCTTTGTCCTGTTCAAACAACTGCCTCTTAGTCTATGTACACAGCCCACATGAACACAATTAAGTGCTCTGGAATCCCCATTCATCTCAAAGCTATTCATAGTTTGTTATGACCTATACATTCAAATTCCTTTGCATAGTTAACAAAACACAAGTAAATATCTTTTTTCTTTTTTTACAAGTAAATATCTTTCTGGTATTCTCTACTTTCATCCAAGATACATTTCATGTCAGCAATGATAGCCCTTGTCCTATGCCAGCGAATGATTTTCAACAAAATTCTGCTTGCACATGGTATTAGTGACATTGTTTAATAATTTCATTATTCTGTCCAGTCACAAATATGGATACAAATATGGATCTCTTCCAGCCTGTTAGCCAGGTAGCTCTCTTCCAAAATTCTTGGCATAGGCGAGGCTTCCAGTATTTCATCAGCTTGTTGAAACGTTCCAATCACCCTTTCATCAATCCCTGGAGCTTGATTTTTTTGCTAATGCCTTCAGTGCAGCTTGGGGTTCTTCTTTCTGTACCATAGGTTTTTGATCAATTCTAGACCACCACATTATGTTTTGGCTTCCCAGTGAATTATTTTTTTCAATCTCTTCATATGCTTGTGAAAGTTGGACACAGAATAAAGAAGGACAACGAAGAATTGATGTACTTGAATGATGATGCTACCAAAGAATACAGAAATGACCATGCACTGTCAAAAACAAACAAATAAATCTGTCTTGGAAGATATTCAGGTGGGGTGCTCCTTGGAAGCAAAGATAAAGAGACTTCATCTCACACATTTTGAACATATTATCTGGAGAGACCAGTACATAGAAAAGGACACCATGCTTGGTTGATGGGCAGTGAGAAATAGCAAGGCCCTCAACAAGATGTATTGACACAGTGGCTGCAACAATGGGCTCAAACAGGAATGATTGTGAGGATGGCACAGGACCGGGTGGTGTTTCCCTCTATTGTACACAGGTTAGCTGTGAGTTAGGACCAACTAGATGGCACTGGACAACAACAGTGCCTATAAAAGTTATATTTACACTAAACTGTAGTCTACTGAGTGTGCAACCGCATTTTGAAAACACTTGAAATATTGTGAGAATTACCAAACGTGTCACAGAGAAGTAAAGTAAGGACAAGCTTTTGAAAAGATGGTGCTAATATATTTTTTGAAGCAGTATGGTCACAAAACTTCAATTCATAAATAATACAGTATCTGTGAAGTATAACAAAGGGAAGCAAAATAAAACAAGGTATGTCTGTATATAATTTTACAATTAAAATAAAAAGGACCACAAAAAGGACATGTTTACTATTCTTACCTAAGTACAACCGAATACCTCATAAGATTAGTTCCCTTCATTCAATTCTATACCATTGACTAAATTAATGACACTATCAATAGTGCCCCCAGGGAGAATGATTTATAATGTTCTCTATCATAAAATGATACTGATGTCTCTAAAGTGAACGAGAGACATCAATAAACCATCGATATATGAATGGATTGGGGGATCACACTTAATTCTAGCCCTAATCTAAGAACAATTAGTTCTAATGACATGGCGCTACGTGGTACCTGCCCTCATGAAGAGATTACTGAAGATATGGATGCTAAAACAAAGTATGTTGAAGAAACCAGATGATGCCCAGCTATCAGAAAGAATAGCGTCTGTGGTTTACAGGTTTGCCTTAAAACAAGCCACCATCTAAGTGAGGCGTCACTTTAGTCCACATGGAAGAAGCACACCAGCTGGTGTGATCCAAGGATTGTGAATAATAAAATCCGAACCTAGAGGAGGGAACAGTATCAGAACTTAAATTCTGCATAGTTGTTTGCAAGAGACTATGGATAGCAGGGGAAGTCCAAAATCCTTTAGCATGGCAGCCATGTAAATTAAGCCTCTGGTGAATTCCCTCGGACCATATTCCAGGGACATGAATAGCCTTGCTATCACACAGAGAGAATTGTAAAGTCAATTATGGCAGATGTAGTTAGGATAAAATGTAACTAATACCTTATCATCTGATCTTCTTTTTGACCCATTCTTAATTTGTTCCAGTTTTTAATATTTTCTGCTTTCTTTTCTATTGAGATCTTTCTGTTTTATTTTGTCATTTTTGTTGGGGAGAGGGTTGTTTCTTGATTTTTTTAATATGTTTTTCTGTACATGAAATCCATGATAGGTAAATCGATCAACAGTAACTGGGCTAATAGTTACCTAGGGGCATGGCAGGGGAAGTTGGGAGGGAGCTCACAATGATGACTACAAGAAAGAAGAACATGTTCTAAAATTCATCGTAGTGATGATTGCACACTCTTTTTAATAGGATTAACAATTGAATTGTGTGATAGGTGAGTTGTATGCCAATACAATGCTTTTTAAGGAATTCTGGTAGGACAGCCCTTGTTACCCACAAAGGCTGAGCAAGTGTTTTCTTGCGATAGATGGAAAAAATCCCTCAGGGAAAATTTCCTGACCCTTTCCTCACCAATGCAGTTTTCAATTTTCTTAAAACATCTTCCTACATGCCCTTAAAATCATCCTGTGTCCTTCAAGGCAATCTATCAAATCCCTGCCTTGCAGTCCCTACCACCCCCACCCCACCCTAAATAGCCATAAGGTTCCGAATGGACCTCTCCCTTGACATCATCTTTGCAGTCTTCCCAGCCTTCCTTAAAATACTTGATGTGTCTAAAAGTAAATTTTTACCATATTGTCAACTATTACTTTAAAATTTAATGAAGTATTACCATTAAAAAAAAATATTTACAGCCTTAGAAATCCTATATCAGCCCCTCTGAATCAGCCTCAACCAGATGGCAGAGGAGTTTGTTGTTTTTGTTGTTATTTTCATGAAATGGAAGGGGAAAGAAAGCTGGCTAATTGTGGCTGTTGATAACATTTCTGTTTAGAAATATTTCTTTCCACTCTCAGAATAAAGGATTCTTTGGGGGGGGGGGTATTTGGGTCTTTTTTTGTTGTTGAAATTTTTAACATTCACATTTGGGATTAACTATGAGATACAAAATTACATGATTCTTGGAATAAGCTGTGAAATAAAGGTCACTCCAAGGCATAGAAACCTTGAGGGTTATTCTAGTTCTCTTTCTCAATTCTTCTACATAAGATACAAACCACACACTTTAGGCAGAATTCACAGGGATCACCTGTGCACTCAAAAGGGAAAAGAACCTGGGCAGACCCTGTGGTGTAGAATTGGAAGCCTGAGAGGTAGGCCAGTAAGAATTTTTAAAGAAGATCTATAGAGAAATAGCCTTCACCTCGGTTATTGAAGCACATCTCGGAATGGACATTATAATGCACATCCTGATGTTTTAAAATGTTAACTGCATGAGGTACCAGCGCTCTCCTGCACACTATTCACTCACTGAGTGTTGCTGGCCCTAACCTTCCCATTTAATTGAATCTAACAGAATCTATTGAATTCTATCTGCTTGCATAAGATTATGACCGTCATTAATGAGCCAGATTTTTAAGTGAGTTGAAGATAAACGGCCTGGTTATGAGAGCTGTTACCTTTTGTCCCCCTGCTGTTTTTTGGGATGGAAACTAGAATACCAATATTTTTAGGACTTCACTAAAAATGCCATCCTGACTTTTCCCAGGTCTGAATCAGGTCAGATTTAAAACTTGTGATGACTGGCAGTTATACATAAATTACTACCGGTTTGATAAAGCTTAAATTGAAAGTTGTAAAATAATGCAATAGACTCTTAATTTTACTCTCCACCTACAAACAAAAATGATAGCTTCACCTCAGGGATTACCTGTGAGGCAAGTGTGTAGTAAACATCCATTTCCATTTGCTCTTTGTACCGACTCATTTCTCCATCCCACCCACCCACCAAAAGCAGTTAGGTACAATGTAAAACTTAAATCATAGAAATGTCAGAGGTTCTTGTAAGTGGCCTGTGGTTTAACTAAAAATGCTCAAGTACCATTTTTTTTTCTTTCCCAGTTCTCTCATTTTCCTGTTGGTCACATAGAACTGATCATTCCCTGAATATTAATAGGTTTAATTTAATTGGAAGAGGCTAACAGACTTAAATTTGTTGGTAAATTGGAAGACATTTTGGTCTAGTGGTTTAGTTTTATAAGAAGAGCATCAGAAACATTAGAAATTGGATACTCAAGGTCAAGTCATCTATTAGTCTTAGGAATAAGAACGTTTGAAAAATATTCAAACTTCTGTTCCTCCACATGAACAAGCTTTATACATTTCCTATTTGAAATAAACTTATTCAAGAAGGAAAAAATAAGGCATAGGATAGTTTTCTCATTAGCAGAGGTTTGGTTAAACATTTATGAAAACCCTAGGTCTTCCTAAAAAGAGATGAAGATGGTACCCATAAAACTTACAAGATTCGTTAGTTAATTAGGTAATTCAATAACATCCTAGTGCACTTGAAAACACGAGTTCGATAACAGCAGTTGCACAACCTTTATGCCTTGAAAAGTTATGATCCCGGCAGCATGAGGAGTCATTTTAAGTAAAAGTACATTTTATGGTAGTGATGTCCATTTTTATTAGAATAAAAGATAGTTTAAGCAATTTGACTTTATGAGAAATTGAGTGTTTGAGGAAGCCATGCTAAAGAACGCTAAATCACTTCATATATATATATATATATATATGAGTATGAGCATATACCACTGAGAATACTAATCATTGACTCGGAAAGATTGCTGAACAAGCCTGCAGTTCTTTACGTGATTTATCCCAGTACCCAAAGTGCCACCACATCACGTGGAGAATAATGTTCTTTTTTGGAATCAGACAAAAAAAGCGGTAAAGCTGGGTGAGCACAGGCATCCCATACATTAGTTACTAGTTGCTCAAAAGAGTAGAGTTCGACAATGTCTTTTGATTTTCTTAAACTCACTCACTTGTGACCGATCTCGTGGGCAATGGTAAACGCCGAGCCCAGGCCAATGTCTTCGTTAATGCTGCAGCTCCTTTCAGGCTCACACATCCCAGCCACAGAGGCCAGGCCTGAGCAAACAGAAGGGACACAAAGGGTCAGGCCAAGGTGTTTCAGTCTTTCAAAGCCCATGCTGATAAATGCCTGGATTCTGTTTAATAACCTCCATGCACAGAAGGAGCAGCTGGTAAAAGGTTAACTTTCGAGTCATTTGCAAAATCACTGGGGGGAATTTCACTTTGCCGGCTAGACATTAATATTTTTTGAACTGCAGTCAGTGCTGGAAAATGTCTAGACTAGGGGTTAGATTTATAAATTTTACTTCTGGTAACTTGGGACCACCTAGTAACTTGAGCCAGAAGAGGGAATTCAAGAAAGCATTTCTATTTTAACATTCTTCAGGCTGCAGAAAGCAAAATATATCCCCGTTATTTTTCTAAAGAGTTCTGTTTAAGTTTAGTGGGTTCATAAAAATATACAAGCAACTTTTGAGTTACCAAAAAAAAAAAAAGAAAAAAAGATTCCCAAATAGTTGTTTTAATGGCATTTTTGTAAAAACAAAAATGAATGATTCAAAAGAGAAAAGGGAGAACTATTAAAGATAGGAGGTTTTGAAGTTGTTAGTGTTTTTTAAATTTATTTATCTGAAATTAGTCCTGAAGGTGAGGCAACAACTTCTTTAAGTATTTTAATGGGAGGGAAGTCATTCACACATACCATGTAGCTCTCCTCGCTCCCAGCCCACTTCAGTACATTAGCTTTACCAATAAAGAAAAACTATGGTGTTAATTCGCTGATTCTAGTGAAATGCTATGTTATTCAAGGTATTCGTCCCTTGGGAATTTCAGTATGTACAAGCTTTAATATCCACCTCCAAAGGAATATTATGCTTGTGATTCATTATAGAATTTGAAAATCTTGCTTAGGGGAAAAAAAGAATATTTATGCTAAAGAAAAGTGTCATCCTTTGTAAGGAAACAGATGCCAAACCACAGTTGACACAGAGAGACTAAAGGTCACTTGAAAGATATTGGAATCAAAGCAGAATTTTTATTAAAAAAATCTCTTACATATTCAAAGTCTACTATTTTGATCCAAATATTGATAATTGCCTTCCCATCAAAGTAAGTTTAATTCAATCCAATGAGTTCTTACTGCATGCAATAAACAATGTTCTGGGCTAGGTACATTTTCCCAGGTGCACTAATGGAACAATAAAAGCTCTGCAATTCAAAATTTTTCTGCCAGGAAATCTCTAGAAATTGTTGTTATTTTTCCACGAATAGGGGTAAAGTTAGTGCTGGATTCATAACAGATCATTTACTTCTCTGGGTTTTGTCTGGTTGGCTGGCTGGTTTTTGTTGGCGGGGACTGATTTCTGACTCAGAGTTGATAAAAGTACTAGTGATAATCTTTTTCTGCCTTCATTTCACTTAGAAGTCTTGCGAGAAGGAAACTAGAAAGTCAAACGAGGGATCCACTAAGGCAAGGTGACTTAATTTTTTTACTCAGAAATTTTTAATAATCATCATTCCAAAATGGCACAGAGAGAATAAATATGTGAGAATTTTCAGGATAGTATTTTTCTTGATCCGAATTGGAATTCAATATGGGCCATGTTGTTTGAACATCCTATTCCGGGCTTTATGGAATGTGGTACAAACGGAATACCCAAACCAAAAACCCATTGCCATCAAGTCGATTCTGACTCATAGCATCCCCAGAGGACAGGATAGAACTGTCCCTTGTGGATTTCAGAGACTGTGAGTCTTTACAGGATTTGAATGCCTCAGCTTCCTCCCATGGAGCAGCTAGTGATTCCGAACTGCAGCACTGGTGGTTAGCAGCCAACAGGGATCACACTATACCACCAGGGCTCCTAAGAATAAATACTGTTGAATTAACACTTCTCACATTTCATATAAAAGTATTAGCATGACTAAGATAACAACTAAAGAAATAACAGGTGGAAATAAATAGTACTGATTGAAAGAAATCTTGAAAAGAATATTTTAAATACTGGTCTACTTTATGACTCTCCACCAGATTCTGTTTTCCGATGAAATTGGAAGTGTCACAGTTCTTATGTATGATTTATTAATATTTGATCATTTAAACGTCCTCTCTCATGGCCACCATCTGCAGCCAGGAGCCTTGGTTGTGTAGTGGTTATGCTCCTGTACGTGCTCTTCAAGATCACCGGTTCAAAACCACGAGCCGGGTACTGGAGAAAGATAGGGCTTGCTACTCCCATAAGAGTTACAGTCTCAAAGGAGACCCACAAGAGCAGTTCTACCCTGTCCCATAGTGTCGCTATGGGTCGGCATCAACTTTATGGCAGTGAGTTTGGTTTTGCTGTTTTTTATTATTTACAGCCATGTTACAATTGGTTCTCAGGAGCCCTAGGCAAGAGGGTATGGAAAAAATATATAAATATTAACATATACATTATCAGAATGAGACCTCAAAAGATAATAATCTAATAACTTCTGTGCTGAAAATACATTTTTCACATGTGTTGTTCATTCTATTCTAAAACAGGATAAATTCAATCTGCTATGATAATTTATGGTAAGCTTCAAAATGCATTGACATGTACCCAACTGTGAATGGATTTATTCTAGAAATTGATAAACCATCAAAGTTGGCACAGATTAATTTGAGGGGGGGAAATAAAAGCAAAAAGAGTGGTAGGGTCGCGAAGTACTTCAAAGCTCCTTTGCAGAATGACAGTAAAAGTAGTAGGCAATTGCAATCCTGTCACAATGAAGAATATATCTCAATGTAAATAACTGACTCATCAAAATTGGAATTGAACGGAGTGTGTGTGTGTGTGTGTGTGTGTGTGTGTGTAGAGAGAGAGAGAGAGAGGGAATGGAATTTCCAAGAGTTCACAGCAAGAACAAGCTTGTGGTCCATTCATTTCATTCTTCCATGAATGTTTTGAAGTTCTCTCATACATATAATGGCCTCATGTGTGTTAGAGCAGCTATGAGGGGGGCTACCAATGGCCGATTTTTCAGATCGATCTGCCTCTTGTTCGCAGTTTCTCTGACTGTCAGCACTGCAAACAATTAACACTCAGTTATTAACCAAAAGGTTGAAGGTTTAAGGCCCACCCAAAGGTATATATAAAAAGCTTCAAAAAGTTCGTGGAAAATGGAATGAAAACATAAGGGTATTTTTTTTCACAAAGTTTTTGAAGTCCTCTGTATGGTGAACTGGTCTGAAGGGTTAATCTCTCTTGTATCTGAAGTTAATGAAGCATTTAGAAAATGCTTACAGAATTTGAACAGTAGATAGAGAGTTAGACGAAACAGTACAATTTCTACTATAAATAAAAAGATCCTGTCAATTTGTATGGTACCATGTTTACTCAATACTTCTTTGTTTTCTGTCTTGATTTTAACACCCACCCTACAGTCTGGTGGTAGATCAGGAAATAGAGAAGCAAAGAGCTTCAATCAATTGCACAAGGTAAGGCTTCAGAACTGTCTGATCCAGTTGTGAGTGTCAGGTGTGAGGTGCCCTCAGTGGGATGTGCTGGACCTAGGCACCTAAAACACCAGAAGAAAAATCTGGTTGATGGGAGCCTTCTCAGCAACATGAGTTCTTTCTGCAGCTAGCTTGTTAAGTAGCAAATTTCTCCAGCATGTGTTACATGGGATTTCTTCTTTAACCAGGTATCCTGAGGGAAATGGAGTGGAAGAAGCTGGAAAAGGCAGGCAACACCATCAAAAGCTTGAATTAATCTCTGGAGAACTGTTTCAGGGAACTCCCCAGAAAGTTGAGCAACACCTTTGTTCCCACCACTTTCATTTGATTTTTCCAAAACCCTTATGAGGTGCTTAAGAAGAGGTTTCATAACATTGACTTTGTAGATATGAAAACCAAGATGTCATAAAGAAATTCAAAAATTCATCTTAACTTCTGAGTCTACAGAAGGCCTGTGGCACGAAGAATCTACCATGGATAAGAAAAGTACCTGTTTCTTTTACTAACTACTTGCTCCACTAGGATAGTCTACACAAGAAGGCTATTGTGTTTTCCCATTTGTATTCGCAGTTGTAAATATGATTTAAAATGTTTAGAATACCCTGGTTTTAATATTTTATGACATCACCTTTTGCTGTTGTTGTTTGGGTGCCACAAATATCTAAATTTATGGGAGATATTCTTTCCACAAAATTGTACCCCCCAAAAAAGTATGTTCTGGATTCCTTCCACTCAGTTCCTTTCCTAAGGACCCTGGTGGTGCTTTGGTTTAAGGGCTTGGCTGCCAAACAAAAGGTCAATTATTTGAATCCACAAGTCACTCTTCTGGGAGAAAGATGGGGCAGTCAGCTCTTGTGAGGATTAGATTCTTGGAAACCCTGTGGGGTAGTTTGCTTCAGCCTCTAAGGCAGAGCATCTACAACAATTTGCTTTGCCTAGCCTGCTTTCATTGGCTTTTCAACTCCATATTTTTGAAAATACACTAGAGAAATAGAGAGTAGGCGTGGTCATCTTTGAGTTATAGTTGCTGCTTAATAATTTTGAGGCACTTTGTAAATAATATTTAGTCATTGTTATGCTTTCCAGAGAAAGCACCCATGAATAATATACACTTAACAAAATATCTGCTTATTTCCAAATAAATGATACAGGGACAGGGTTAGGCTCAACAATTCATATAGGCAACATCAGATGTGCCAGAAAGGAACATGACCAATTTCAAAGTGTAAAAGCCATCAGTCCAAATAGTCGCTCTAATGGCTTCTTCTTTTATATATTAAAAAAAAACTTACCCAGGGTTCCGCAGGGCTTATTTTTATAAGTGCAGATATCATATCTATGGAGGAGAAAGAAAGAGAGATGAACTTTGTCATCTGTTCGAATTTGTACAACACTGTCGTATCTTCATCACATGTCTTTCTTGGGGCTCTGGTTGTCAGATGACAGACAATCAGCGCCTTTCTGAGCAGCCAGCAGGAGTGGTCGCCTTTTCAGCACTTGAGGGGGAGGAGGGAGTACACCACCAGCTGCAGCACTGCACTCATGCCTCTGGCTGCAAGCCAGGGGGCCACCTGCCAGTCGGAGGGAAAGGTTAGGGTGCACTTTGTAATCACAAATTCCATAAAACCATCTACCATATTGTTTTGAAGCTGGCATAGCTTGTGTGCTGAGGACTACTGCTTCAACAACAACACTCGTGGATGGCTTTTTATTCCCAGCTTCTTTTGAACCTACTGGAATAATAGTTCTAGCCACAGATTATATTGTATACTTCTGAGCTATAAGCACTCTTTGGAGTTCCTTCAACTCTCGCATGGGTTCTTGTTATGTAATAATCATCATCATAAACCAGAGCTTAATACAGTCATGGGAATCAAATTAAGATCACATATTTCAGTGATGCACCAAATAGCTAAATTCCTCAACAGAGAGTTCGTCTGTCTCATTCTACTGCTGTACGGCATCATAACTAAATACAAATGATAGCGCTCACAAAGGAAGTTTGCATGTTTTATGTATACTGCATAATGATAAATCAGTATTGATACAAGCATTTATTTTAGACATTTTTATAATGATACTCTTGAGAACTAATCTCTGAAACTAAAAGCATCCAGAATGAAATATGTTTTAAGACTAAGATGTTTTATTTGCTCATGTTTTATGTTAGAAAAGAAAAGCTCCACAGCAGCAAATTGAAATTTCACAACTGATAGTAAAATTGGAGTGTGATTGTGTATAAATAATGGCCGTCAATAGTACTTCAAGGAGGTAGTAATTCTTATTCACCAATCAAAAGACCAACATTCACTTTCTAAAAACAATTGTTACAACCAACCATATTACTATAAGTCATCAAATCCTTGGAGATTCCCTCTGCCTGTTTTTTTACAATTCATATTCTTCATCCTATCTATTTTACATGTGAGGACAGAAACTTCCTTTTTCTCTTGTATAACCTTTTCCTCATGACACATCCTTTCTCTTCCTCCTCTTATAATTAAGTCAATGGATTGAACTTTCTAGAACACTTTTGAATGGAAAATAGAGAGTGCTTCCCATTTGTCAGGGAAGCTTTCATGTTGTTAAGATGCTTAACAGACGCAGCAGAAAATAGACTAGGAAGAAAGGCCTGGTGATCTACTTGCCAGAATTAGCCAGTGAAAACCCTAGGTATCACAATAGTCAATGGGGGATGGCTCAAACAGGGCAGCTTTTTATCCTATTAAGCATGGAATCACAATGAGCCGGGCCTTCCATGGCAACTAACAACTGGTTTCCTCACCAGAGCACCAAAAGTATATTCTAAGTCTCACGAGCTATTTCTCTTGAGATCATAGTACATTATGCCAATATTCTTACATAGATGCAACCCCTACTGGTAGTCTACAAAATAATGTAACCGTAGACTCTATTGTAATGCACATACAAATGTTTCAAGAGAAATCTATTTCTAGATCCTTAACTTGCAAATGTACCTTTTCCTAAAATTGATCTTTCTAATCATGTACCAGGGGATAATCCTGTAGGAGCCAAGCAAAAGGGAAAAAAAGGAAGAAGAAATTATGCTTATCTCATCTGGCAATGTTCTTTACTTCTTCTATCAATTTGTTTGTTTATAAATCTTCCTATTTATCTATAGGCCTATCTATTATATGTCTCATTCTACATATAGAATTAGAATTGGAGTGTGAGGTAATTGTCATGAAGGAGCATATGTACATATTTATTTGATCTAAAAAATTACATCAGGCTTTTTATTTAAAGACACTAAGTCTAACCAAGCTAAGTAGTTTGACAATGAGGACCAATTTGGTTAACTAGATTAAATGATTAATATTTTTCATGAGTGATTAAGCAAAATGTGTAGCTCTAAGGTTTTGGCAAAATTCATTTTAATATCATATCCAATATTTATGGTGGCTAGTGTACTTTACGTAGCTACTTAGACGTGTGATGAAAAAGTATTTTAGATATCAATTTTTAAAGGTTCCAAGTGGCATGACATTTTTCCAGATCCTTTTAGGAAAGAGGTTAAACAATAAGTTTGAAAATCACAGGCAAATATAACTTGTTTTTCCAATCCATAGTCGTCCTTTCTCATTTCCTCTCACTATTCCACACTTTTCATTTCCTCTCCCCATTTTTACTACACCTTCTATGGTATACTGGTAATGAATATGATTTCATTCTGTTACAATTGTTCTACGCTGGATACAGGCTAATACCATTAATCAATAAAGTAGAGCAAAACATCTTAGGTTAAGGAAATTCTATTTATAGAATAACAAGAGGTCTTATTCATCGAATCGTTCAAGTAGTCTAACATACCTACGGAAGTGCCTATAGTATAGTTTACAGAAGAGCCTTAGGGGTGTTGTGCATTATAGGTTGGGCTGCGATCTGCCAGCTCAGTAGTTGGAGCCCACCAGCTGAAGCTGTCTGCTGTGAAAAGTTTACATCCTCAGAAACCCAAAGGAGCTGCTCTACTCTTTTCTGTTGGCCAACATAGTTCAGAGGCCCTCCTCACTGTACAAACAAACAGTAAGCTTTCTCGACTGTGTGCATGGGGCATCTGAGATTTGGTCAGGTGTGTCCTGATGCCAGGTGGCAAGTCTAGAAGACAAGAAGTCTGTCCCTTGAATACAAACCCCGGAGCACAGTATTTTAGGCCAGACTACAAACCAGAAAGATCCGCAGTTCAAACCAACAGCTGCTCCATGGAAGAGAGTTGAGACAGTCGGTTCCACAGAGATGACAGGCTTGTAAACGCTACAAGGCCCTTTTCACATACTATTTTATTTTATTTTT